CACGAGAGCTCAACCAATTGCAGGCACACTTTCATGTTCACTGTTACATTTCAATAGAAGTGATATAGCAGTGACTGCCTCTGTGGTCTAGTGGTCAGAGTTCCTGGCTACAGATCTAGAGGTCTGGGTTCGATTCCTGGCGCTACCAAATTCTTTGAGAAGTAGTGGGTCTGGAACGTGATCCACTCAGACTCATTAGTATAACTGAGGAGCTATTTGAAAGAAACAGCGGCTGTGGCCTAGAAAACCGAAATTAATGGCCCGTGGGCATTTGTTGCGCTGACCACGCGACACCCTCTATCTGCTAAAGTTGGGACTAACTCCACCGACAAGTGGCAATTGCTCAGTCAGTATAGTTTGCTTGCAGACTGAAACCATGGAATTTGTTTGGTGATACAACAGTAAGCTGATGATATCTACCTTGCATTAGGCACTGCATGTTAACACAGGAGTTTTTTAATTTTTTAACTTGAAATGTGGATATTAAAGCAAAAAAATTTACAGTAAGCGATATAATTAGTATTACAGTACGATGCTGTCTAACTGGTTAAAGTAGCAATATATTCAGGTTAGTATACTAGTACTTGCATTCAGACTGTTTTAAATCCACTGCAAATGTTGTGGTACAAAAAAAAACATTATTTCTTTACACTGCAACATTTTCATTTCCTCAATTTTACACTCTGCACCACTGCTTGTCTATTTCAGAAGTGTAAAAGCAAGATTCTACTGCATTAACTGATGCATGAGACAAGGCTGTCAACGTAATTCATCTGGATAAAATTGGACATGGGTAGAAAATGATCTGCATGGACATCTATATCATCCTGAGAAATTACCTGATAGAATGACAAACACAGTTTTGCTAGTCCAGTGGAGTCATTCCACGCTTAATCACAGGTAAGTGCGATTTTCAACTAAGCCTTGTGTGAGTTCAGTGAAAGTTACTAAGCTTGCAGACTCAAACGAAGAGAGTCTTGCAAAATCTCTGTGGTCTAGTGGTCAGAGATCCTGGTTTCGATCCCCGGCGCTACCAGATTTTCTGTGAAGTAATGGGTCTGGAACGGGGTCCACTCAGCCTTGTGAGGATAACTGAGAAGCCATTTCAAGGAAATAGTGGCTCTGGTCTAGAAACCCATGATTAACAGCTGTGGGGATCCATTGTGCTGACCATGTGATAGCTTCTATCTGCAAAAGTTAGCACTAACTTCGCCAACAAACAGTGGTTGCTTGGTCGGTATAGGCCGTTTGCGGACTACATGCCATGGAGTTTATGTTTTGCAGTATATAAGGAGCAGAGTCAAAAAATCACAAAAAAATTGCATTTTCCTGTCATGCTGGCTCCATTAAAACTTACTGTTTAACTTCTGTTCTGTAAAAGCTACAAACCTCTCATGGGATTTGTTCAAAAAGTAATGAAACGCTCTTCTCAGGTATGTAACTCATATTCAGAATAGAGCACTTTTTAGTTTCAGTGTTACCTGCGTAACCTTTGCCCTCCATCTCAAATAATGTAATCCTTTTTTTCTGCATAAAAACATTTTGTTCATAATTTTGTAGTCTAACATACAGGAAAACATCATCCTGGGCATCTGTGGGATCTCTTCTAATGAAATCATAAACAGACAACAAAATAGATAATTCTGGGACATTACTCAGATGTTTAACAAAGGAAGCCTTACTACAGTGTAAAGGTTGCCGACATCAACAGACATGATGTTAACAATGTCAATAACTCACACCTAAAAAACACAATAAGTTGTAGCTTCTATTGTGTGGTAACTATTAAATCCTCAATCCTTTAGTGTGGCATTTTAATCCCTACAGTTGCACATGATCATTTAATTTTTGTTCTAAAATAATTCATTATTCGTATCTTTTGAACTAAATGAGATGTAAACTGAATGCTGGATGAGCTAACATGCAACCAGGGGTGGAGGAATCAGTAAAGAGAAGACAAACATAAAGCCAAATCAGTACAGAGTTTCACTGAGGTGTACACCACTTTGGAAACTTTCAAGTAATTATTTTACATAGAAAGGCAAATCGAAAAGTCTTTACATCTACTTTCTTCAAGCCAAAATATTAGCGTGATGGAGTGACCAGATTATACATTCGATGCAACAGGATATGCTTGGACTGGACCAGTATTAATTCTTGGCTGCTCCGCAGCACTGCGCCACTGTCAGTCGCTGAAGATGGCTGGTGTGCTCAACACGTCCACGTTGTATGAGCAGCAAAGTATTATTCATTTTCTATATAGCAAGGATGAATGCCCATTGAGATCCATAGGGAAATGCAGCCAACGTATGGGGACAAATGTCTTGCTTTGAAATGTGTGCGGTGGTGGTGTTGGTGTGATTTCACTAATGGCTAGGAAGACCTTAATGACTATGAGTGGGTGAGGCAGCCTTGCACCTCACTCACACCAGATGACATTGCCTGGGTGGATGCAATGGTGAAAGCGGACTGGTGTGTGCACATGGAGGTCATTTCCAAGGAGCTTGGCATTTCATATGGCAGTGTTTACAATATTGTTCTCGATTCCTTGGGGTATCGTAAGGTTTCATGTCGGTGGGTGCCTAAGCTGTTGGATGATCTGAACAAGGCCAAGAGAATGACGACATCACTGCAACATTTGCAGCGTTACTCCAAGGAGGGTGAAAGGTTCCTGGATCTCACTGTCACTGGAGATGAAACATGGGTATTGCATTTCACTCCACAATCCAAGTAGCAGAGTATGGTGTGGAAACATTCCGGTTTGCCTGTCATGAAGAAATTCTGCAGAACGCCATCCATCGGGAAGTTGATGGTCACGGTCTTCTGGGATCAGCGAGGACCACTCCTGCTGGATTTCATATCACGAGGTACCACCATCAACGCGGACAGCTATTGTGGCACACTTGCACATCTGTGAGATGCCATCAGGAAAAAGCGCCTGGGGATTCTCGTGGACAATGTGGTTCTCCTCCATGACAACCCCAGGCTTCATGTGGCAAACAGGACCACCGCCCAACTGCAGTCATTCAGATGGGAGATTAAGGAGCATGCACAGTATAGTCCAGACCCCACCCCCCCGTGATTACCACATGTTCGGCCTACTGAAGAAGTTCCTGGCAGGCCAGAGGTTCATTTCCGAGGATGCGAAAACCGCTGTCCAGTTGTGGTTCTGCGCTCAACCAGCCAAATTCTACAACAGTGGCATCTCCAAACTAGTGATGCGATGGGACAAATGCCTGAACCAGGGTGGTGACTATGTGGAAAAATAGTCAAAGGTACTTAGAACACTGCCTGTATTTTGATTTCCCTGTATGTGTATTATTGTGGCTGGAAAAAAAAATAGGGGCAAAGACTTTTCAATTTGCCCTCGTACATAACATCGATGAGAGTAATGAACAGGATATTTTGAACTTAGAACTTTGTTTGAAACATAACATTCGAAGTAACCAATTGCCAATAATTTGGACAGAGGCATTTAAAAGTAACTTTTATTTCAATTATTGACTTTATGGACATTATCAATCATCCTGTTTTTAAGAAGTCTTACATACCATAAGGAACAGACTTGCTAGTGGGGTGGAACTAAGTCCCTTGTACTGCGGCCACTTCTGGCCTATTTTACCAAGAAACAGACTTAATATGGATCCTTCTTCCTCAGAACACTAGCCTTAGCAGGCTGAAGATGTTAATTTAACCATGTACATGTGCAGGAAACCGACTCATACAGGAGGTTTTAAATACAGTAAAACTTGGTTATAGCAACATCGGTTTCTGCGACACCTTGTCTATTGCGTCAAATATTCAATGGTACGGACTAATTCCTCATAAAGCAACTGTTTTTATACCTTGCTTAGTACGACATGTACAAATGCATCAACCTCATATGTAACGTCATTTTCATTCCTGAATTTCTCTGATATCGTGGGAAAGTTCGATGTGTCTGCCCACCCTCACTTTCTCTACTTGCTGACGTGACTGTCCTGGAAGAATACGACCGCGGGCTGCAAGAGGAGCGTGGGTTTTATGCGAAAACAAGGGTGTGGGGTGGGACTGCGTGAATAGTGCAAGAGGACGCGGCAGGTTGTTAACTGCATTCCTTTCCTAGAATCTCGTCTAACAGGACCTCACATTGTCTACTTACCTTATAGTGTTCCTGCCTAAACCCAGAGAAGTGCAGTAGCGAAAACATGGCAATGAAAAGGAAAGTTTTAAGCATTGAAGAGAAAGTTAAAGTGATTCGTGAAATAGAAAATGGAAGGAAAAAAGCCGATGTATGCCGCGAATTTGGTTTGGTGAATTCTACAGTACAAACGATATGGAGAATCCATATTAATTCCACGTTAATGTTACGTTAGTCTGTACTTAACTACCTATTTCACTAAAAAATGCAACATTTTAACTCGGTTTTTGATAGATTTTTACGTGACTAACATAAGGCTACTGTGGAAGTGCGCATTTCGGTTACGACGACATTCGTTTATAACGACACTATTTTTAGGTCCCTTTGATGACATTATAGCCAAGTTCTACTGTATATACATTTCAAGTCCAACCTCCCGGCGCATGTGAGCAGTCAGTCATACCTTGGTCAACAGAGTCAAGGCCATTAAGTAATAAAGACCCATACAAATTCACTGATCACATTATGAAGCCACAGAGAAGCAAAAGTCTACACCAACCAGACATGACTTCATATGGGTCTAGATCAGTCCAGTATATCAAAATTTATCAGCGTAAAGAAGTGTGTGCGCGTGCGTGTGTGTGTGCGTGGGGCGGGGAGATTTCACTGGTGTGATAAATATATTTAATGAAATTGAAGAATAATAAACACTCTGGAGCAAATTAAATGTACATCAGACTGGCTCTGTCAACAGCATAATATCTGAAATGCATGCATATCAGAACTAAATTATTCGATACCTTTCCAATCTTACTGCATATGCCCATCCTTCCTTACAAACATACAGCAACAGTTTTTTCTTCTGATGAAAGGGTCCTACCTTGACTGCAGTGGTAGTAGTGGCTCCAGGCATGGCTGCACTGTAACTGGGCTGCACTGGAAACTGAACACTGCTTGGCATTACCTCCCTGTCTCCCCCTCCAGATGCTCCTTTCAGTGGTGAGAACGTGGACTGTACCACACTAGAACCTGCTAACACCAGATAAACTATGATATTTCTGAACATAACGAGCTGATTGGGTGAGAATGAAATATTGAAGATTTTCGAACATATCTACAAATTTCATCAGTTTAATTATCATACATATTATTCACACTGCTAACATCTTACATGAATGTTTCATTAGCATTACATAATATAAAATAGACAAATAAATAAAGCAATAATTTAAAGTATATTCCATAACAGGCATATTTCATTTCTACAGCTAAATCTCCATTCTCAATTACTTGCATATATAACACAATCATTTAATTAAGTTCAATGTGACTTCTCAATGTGTCTCCAAATTATGTATTTCTCATTATCTGGAATAGATCATGCCTAAATGTCAACCCAAGTCATGTGAAATTCTGCCACTGTTCCCCTTCATTATAAACAGATCAACTTTCATAACACCTTTATTATAATTCAGAATACAAATTTTCCAGACACTGATTAAAACTGTCACTGGCATCATAATTCTTGAAACAGTTTTCTTTAAACTGCTACATAACATGTTTGATGTGATTTAAAGGTCACAATATGAACAAAGGATCAGGAGAAATTAATTTTTGCTAAAAGAAGTCTGCCTAGTGTGACTGCTTCACCTGTGCTGTTGTGCTGGTCTTGGTCATTGTGACGCCCCTCCCCCTTGTTTGTAAACATAATCTCATCTAAAGGCACATCCACATTACTTGTGCTCGTGCTCGTGTCACTCGCTATGCTCGCAAGTAATGTGGATACATTTAAAAACTATAGTCAATAAATTAAAATATGACTACAGCCTATACACACTACGAGTAAATATATGGAACTGAAGTAGTGTGGACAAAGATTTACGAGCACAAGTAAAAGCCAGACGAGTCTCCCGACGAGCACGAGCATGAGTAATGTGGACGCGCCTTAAGAATGAAAAAATCCGCTACTGAGTACAGACCACCCATAATGCAGGATAGTTTCCTACAGTCAGCAATAGCTCTTCTAAAATATGGTACAGCTTTGATGAAGGAGCAGGCGAGAAAGAGTTCAGTACAGTTCAATCAGTTTAGTGACCAGACTATGGGCTGTATAACCAGCAGACTGGAATTTGATTCCCAACAGAGGCACATACTTTCTCTTGTCCACTATGTCTAGACTTGCTCAAGGGCAAGTCAACTGGACTCATACTGTAGAAACTATTTCAGTATTCTTTTATCACACAGCTCTATCCAGATTGTTTATCTAGTTTCATTTTTACTGGATGTATATTCAGTTCTATCCAAGTACCTTCATTTCTAATACGATTTAGTCTAACGCTGCCTTTAACTGCTCTCAAGTATCTCACCTATATTAATTGTATTCTATTTATGCCTCTTCCACATACATTATGCACATGCTGAGGAACAAGGTCAATAGAAAAACAAAGAAAAATTATGCCAGCTGACAGCAGTAATAAATACGATTTTACCTTCAGGCCATATACCAGTAAAACAATACAAGTGCCCTGTCCTACTGAAAAATACATGAATAAAAGTGTTGTGTTCCTTCACAAATCCACCTTCAGCATACAACATCAATCTCAACAGGTAGTTACTTCTACTGCCACAAATGACTGATCAACTCTAAGTACTGGTTATGAACCTGGAAATGGGCACAGCAATGCCATCAAGAAAATATATTCTTGGAACTCAACATAAATGTCCCATTAGGGAATAAAATGTGATATCAGATTATACTATAAATGTGGGAGGAGATGACTGCAGTAATATCAGTTCATAAGCGCAATGAAGCAGTACAGGAATATGGTTGTTCTGGCGTCTAAAAGTGATATGACCATTTATACTTCCTGTACATCCTGGTTCAGGAACAATATAGTGAGACATCTTTAGCCATCAAGAAGTTTAGGCAAAGTCCTGTAAGAACGCAACAGGCCACACACTGGTCCACCTGATATAAGACTAGATGGTAAGGCTCATTTTATTAAAAAGGGTCTGTCACCTGTACCAGGCATAAAGCAAAAAAGCCACAGAAATACTACATTCATGCATTGGGGGAGGGCATTAAAACACCATTTTACACCAGACAAATACACACAACTGTACAACAGTCACAAACATCTGAAGCTGTAAAACAGCTGTATCCATAAATATGTATCAAAGTTAGTACCAGCAATGACATATGATGTGACAAAACATTTTCTTTATTTTCACTGCATAAAGGCAGATGTAGGGGCATAGTTGGCTAAGGCACTATGCTACAACCCGGAAGGTAGTGGATCGAATCACAAAAAGGTAGATTTTTCAATTTACCTAATCCTTCCGGCTGCACTACAACCCTGGGGTCAACTCAGCCTCTGACAGAAATGAGTATCAGGAACGTTCTTGAAATATTCTTGGGGGTAAAGGGCAGCCAGCATGTAAGGCTGACAACCTTGCCACCATCTATGGGACGATTTTCTAGAAAATGTGGGAACCTCAAAATCTCACAACCCTATGGGCTTCCACAGCCTGTTACAGGGATACCTTTACTTTTTTACTTAAAGGCACATGCACTTGTCCTTTTCCTAGGACATGGTTGTTTATTTATCAGTCTCACAATGCACAGTAGCTAATACTTCAAAGAACGGATAACATTCAAATTAAGAAATAAAAATTCACTTCTGTAACACCAAAAAAGACTAGAAATGAGAATCTGAAATGGATCCAGAAACTCTTATGCAATAATTGCACACCCATGGCTGTGGCTGCCATACATATTAGAGGAGGAGGTAACAAGCTGTGGAGGTCTATTCGGTTGTGAGACATCAACGCTCCTACATTTCTAGCCATACATGGCGGTGAGGTTGACAGTCTTATGCACCAGTCGCCCTTTAACCCCCAGGAAGATTCCTGGTACTCATTTCTGTTAAGGGGCCGAGTCGGCTCCAGGGTCATAGTGCAGCTGGAAAGATTAGGCCAACTGAAAAGTCCAACGACCTCACACGAATCAAACCCGTGACTTTCTGGCTCAAAGAGCACCTCAACCAACTACACTACCCTGAATCCCCTACCATATGCGTACATTTTAATAACTAATTTCACATTATGTCCAGGAATTCTTTACTATAATTCAAAACAAGAAACTGACAAGGTACATTTCTACATGTAAGCCACAAATTATCACATAAACTTGATACACAATCAGGAAACATCCCATTGTGTAACACACAAAACAAATATGACAACTTGAAATAAAGCACTGATAAATGTGTGAAAAAATGAAATAAATTCCTGCTAATGCAATGAGACTTATTTTTGTAAGTGGAAATTTACATTAAAAATTCTGCATCATATGGTCACAAAGGTTTTACTGATAAATAGAATATCTACATGGTAAAACTATCCTTGTGTCTTAGCTTCCAGTTTTAGTCATAGACGACAAGTGTAAGCATTTTCTGATAATTTTTTGTGACCATATTCTGCTTGAGAGAGAAAAAATGCTTCAGAAAGGTTAGGAGAGGTGGAATTCTGACCAAAGCTATTTCAGAGAAGGCAATGCCACTGGCTGGCATGAATCCTTTATGGAATAAACAGAATTAAATACACACAAAAATACTGACCTGTATGAGAGGCTACAATGCGAGTACTGGATGTATGTGGTGAGAGAGGGGTTGTAGCTGCCCCTCCCCCCTGGTGGCGGGGTGGTGCACCGTAAACACTGGCCACACTATTCTCTTGCTTCACTGCCTCCTCCGTCCGACGTTTCATCTCAAATCACATTGGGAGTGCTGCAAGTAACAAAATATCAACTTGTAAATAAATAGTTGTAATAAAATATGCAATGCAACTAAGATGAAAAGCAAAGAGATAGAGAGAAGGCAATATTAAAACACAATCATGTGGCCACCTTCTGATGGCAGAAAATTAAAAACCATGCATATGACATAATTTTATGCTGAACAATCTCTCTGGTTATGTCCACAAAAGAAATACTTTCATGAATTTAATGCTACTCCACTCATGGAGCTGAGCCCTTCTTGAGAAGCTGCCAATTGTGCAGCTACTCAAGCATTTTATGGAAGCCAAAGGTTCATTACCATGTTTACTGGTCCCGATCCTGAGCCAGATCAATCCAATCTACACCATCCCATTCTATCTGCAATCCATTTTAATACTGTCCACCAACCTACGTCTTTTCATGAATTTAACAACATACGCAAACCTATATGACAATCATTAGTTGGTATAATTTCGCAGAGAATAATGAATACATCGCTGATGAATCATCACAGGCTCATGTAGAACTTTTCCTCATTTTTATAGCCTATTCATTCTGAAGAACTAAACCAATTATAATACTTACAGCTGTTAACTGTCACTAATGGTTAAATATTTTCCCACATGGCATTTAAAAATACGTGGAATCCCTTATAATCTAATTTCGTCCTTCAAGCTTTTAATCTTTGGTAGAGTGAACACTACTTCCAGAACATCAATCTATTCTATAGAAAAAAATGTGCAATTTCTATTGTCATGATCCATTATTACTGTTCAAGCTCATCACACAAAACCTTGTTTCAGCCCGAGAAAGAACTTTCATATTTCTTGGAAAACCTTTAATATACAGTGACCATATTCTTGTTACTGGAATGAAAAGTTTATTTAAGTACACTTGTTACTCATAATAGGAATCGATCTAACTTGCCTAACAATAAGTGCTTTATTTAAAGGTACTTAGCTTCAACAGAAATTATTTCAAACTATTCTGTGACGCTGATAACTGCATTCTTTCTCAAACCGAATACATCACATCTCAAGAAGCCTTAAAAAGAAACAGTGCAACAATGCAAATACCTTTTCTTCATTAATTCCCATCTGCTCCAGAAGTATGGGACCAAGTTTAATCCATCAAATGCATTTCAATCCCACATTTGGGTACATGGCATATAAAATATAAAACGGCCATATATCACCAGGAATGACACTCATGTTAGAATATGCATGAATTACAAAATTATTACATAAAGTGCAACACTTCTTCTCATCTTAAATGCCTTGCATAAAGTCTCTGCTAGGTAACTGCATGGGGCCTTATGAAAACTCATTTGAAACCTGAAATTTCACTGCTATGCTCACAAGAACCCAGAAATGAGCCCCCCTTAGATGAATACAGACTGTCCATTGGATAATATGAACACATCTGTACTCTACTGATCGCTTCAGCTACTTCAAATGTACAATGCATCATCTGTAGAGATCATGCTCTAAAAAAATAATAAAAAAAATGTTGATAAATTGTGTTTTCTGAACTCGGCCTCCTATCCAACGGGTACTGGGGTGCTCTTTCCCTGGAGGGTAAAGCAGCTGAAGTGTGAAGGTGACCACTCACCTCAGCTAGTGCCGAGATCAAGAATATGTGGATCAATACATTCACTCCTCTGTAAGTAAAGTACAGGGTTGTGAAATGTTGAGGGTCCCACATTATCTAGGCAATCAGCTCACAGACGGCGGTGAGGTTGTCAGCCTTACGCGCTGGCTGCGTTTTACTCCCCAGGAAAATTATTTAATTAATTCCTGGTACTCATTTCTGTTAGAGGCTAAGTTGAACCCAGGGCCGTAGTGTGGCTGAAGGATTAGGTCAATTGAAAAAAATCCAATGACCTCATCGGGGTGTGAACCCGCAACCTTCTGGCTTGTAGCTTAGTGCCTCAACCAACTATGCTACTGTGTCACTCCCCTGTATGTCTTCAAAAGTGTAGAGCTTAATTAGTGAAGCACAGAGACAAATCTACCTTCGCCTCCCCACATGCCCCTTTATTACAGCATTCATGTATTTTCAGTTTCATAAATGCATCTAACATTTTTTTTTCATGCAGTCAAGATCTGTATTTCAGTTTGCTATCAGAGAGCCAAACTGCATACGAAACAGCAGCAGCAATGTACATCCTAATGAAAAACATTTAGTACAAATATGTTTTAGGACCATGATTTATTTAAACCGTCTTGCAGTGCATACACTCATCTATCTCCTTCTCTCCCTCGCACTACATGTTTCGGCATAATAATGCCATCTTCAGGTGCTTACTCATCCACGCCAAACTAGTTCATTGCATGCCTTGTCCTCACATTAAAATAACTAAAATATATATCTATCATATATATTGACAAATGTCGAACGTTAAAAATATTAAAATTGTTCAGGATTCCACATCGCTACGTCACACCTTATTGACATTTGTCAATATATATGATAGATATATATTTTAGTTATTTTAATGTGAGGACAAGGCATGCAATGAACTAGTTTGGCGTGGATGAGTAAGCACCTGAAGATGGCATTATTATGCCGAAACATGTAGTGCGAGTGAGAGAAGGAGATAGATGAGTGTATGCACTGCAAGACGGTTTAAATAAATCATGGACTTAAATCAGTCCAACAGGACGCTAAAATATAACATGTTTTAGTACATTATCCATCATCCTGTCCTTAAACACACTGTCTGTCTATTTTTCAAAGCACAACGTTTCGGAGACAAGATTCTGTCTCCGTATTCAGGTAAAACCTACTAAGCTGGGCCCAATCATCAGAGCTAGTCCCTATCTCTGGACACCTGTGCCAGCACCAAGATGGGATATACAAGCCAAACAGCACAAACCATCTGCGAGAGCTAAGAAAACATTAAATTATTAAAACCTCTACATTTATGAGGCCTTGCACAAGAGAACTAGCATGACACAAATAATCACCGGAGAGGAGCAATACTCCTTATGGTACCAACACAAGATAAAACAAATTTTCCCACTCAATCTACACTTAGGGGAGTTGCGGGTTCTTTTACTTAGTAGTATGATGCATGAAGGACGATGAGAAAACAGCAGATATATCCAAACATATGCTGGAATTCAAACCCCAATCTCAGTCTGTTAGTTTATAGACTGACTTCCAAAAACCTGTGCAGATGCTCAAAGCTCTCCCAAGCCAATGGGGAGGATCATGGATGAGAAAAGTTACGTGCCTGAAATCTGTCCAACGAAATAAACCTGTTGTAGGAATGTGCACAATCTATAGCAGTTGGCTGCTGGCAGCAGTCCATTCAAGGTCCTCAAAGCTAAATGATTCAGTTTAGGTCTGTGTATGTGGACATGTTCAGACACATGCACAACTGCTTCAGTTCTCTAAAGGCATCACTTTCCCATCACAGACAAAATGCAGACAGAACCGCGAGATATAAACTTATAAAACACCACTTTCTCCCTGAAGGGAAACTAACATGAATATATGTGTAAAATCGTTTTTCAGATAACATGACATTTGTGTTCTACAATCACTGAAGTTTCTAGAATCTTGTAAAATCACAACATATCTACAAATGTATCATGTTCACAATATTCATCCTATAATACTGGGCAAATACTAATGTTGTGTACAATTTGTGTAGAAGGCTGAAGTCCTTCCATACATGTAGGCAGCGCCAATATTACCATCATGCACTGCTTTCTACAATTTCAGTCCTGCTATGATTTCATGATTTCCAGATTTCCCTTGTATTAACATTTAAGAGCTTAGTGACACCGTATGGAGACTTTTAAAGTGTAGCCGAGTGGCCATGTGACACCGTATGGGTACATGCAGTCCACGCATCGGCAGAGTCTTTTAAAATCTAATTTTAAGATAGAAATTCTTGTTCTACTTGCATTATTTTTGGGCACCAGCTTTATGAGTAGACAGTCTTCCCTCCTGCATCATCTAACTGAATGTTGCCTTCGTGTGGTACTGTTGGAAACATCCGGAAATGCAGAGTCCAACATCGCAATTCATGCACTTTGTCCGGATGTAACTCCGTTTCCCACACGAAGAGCACACACGACACCTCAGTCTCGTATTAGAGGAAGTCGGCCAGTGATGTCGAGTGGCCCCCTCTAATCGAGATATCGCCGATGACACAGCAGGAGTTCTACCCGTGAACCGTTCAGGGTGAGGTGGACCCCTTGCTGCATGTTCCAACATGGTGCACACAAGGGTGAGATGAAATTCTCTGTGTGACAATTTCGCGCCACAGGATGACAACAGGATGAAACTGTTCAGAACTGTCAGATCCAGGAGATGGAAAAATAGTTTATTTGTCCATTTCCAGGTCCGACGACTGATGCTATAGCTGTTTGCCATTCTGTCCGCTTTGTCGACATAACCCATGTGCATGCTGTAGTCAAGAATTGCTGGCTTCATGGCATTTCCATGCTCATCACAGAAACTGCCTTCTGCTGGAGGACAGTGCATGTTTGTCAGTATGTAAACGTCATGTTTGTCCTTCCAAACCAGTGCTGTCAAGTTCCGTCTCGCCCTAATACAAACGTCACCTTTCTTCAGTCGACTATCATCAGGCAAGCCCTTCTGATTAGGTCTGACTGTCCCACAGCACGTTATGTCCTTTGTCAACAGTTTGTCAAACAAGTCTGGTGACGAAAAGAAATTGTTCATGTACAGTTTGTGATCTATGCCCTCAATTCGTCTGCATAGGTCCCTAACTGCAGCATGTGTCGCTGTCACGTCTTGGTCGGCACGTGCCCTGTCTTTTCCTAGGTAAACCTTGATGTTAGAAGTATACCCAACAGAGTCACAAATTTAGACTTTGATTCTGACACGTTTGCGTTTCTTAGGAATGTACTGCCTAAAAACCACCCTCCCTTTGAATTTAACAATTATCTCGTCTATGGCCAAATGTTTGGAAGGGTTATAATATTTTTCATATGCGTCACTGAGAGTGTCAAAGATGGTCCGAATTTTCCA